TCAACCACCAAGTCTGCAGGTACCCACTCCAAACAAGAAATCAAAGTACATCCTTCTGACTTAGACTGACAGCTGGGTTTAACAAGATTCACAGTGCCTCTCACCTTCTCCAAGACATTCTCAAATGTAAGGAATCATAGTGGAGGTGTGGTGTACAAAGGAAGGAGTGACATAGTCAGTTATGATCAATACCACAGTGGGACTCTATCTGCCAAGGAATGGGAGAATGGCCTTTAACTCCATGGCCTTCTGCAGTTTAGAGACTTACTTAGCCAAATCATTTATTACCTATTTTAAAAACAAATCACAAGGCCTCAAATAGCCAAAGCAAATCTGGAAGAAAAAAAAAGAAAAAAGCCAGGCTGGGAATGTGGCTTAGTGGTAGAGTGTTTGCCTAGCATATATGAAGCCCTGGGTTCAATTCCTCAGTACCACATAAACAAAAAGCCAAAAGTGGCACTGTGGCTCAAGTGGTAGAGGCCTAGCCTTGAATACAGAGAAGCCCAGAGACAGTGCCCAGGCTCTAGGACTGGGGGAAAAAAATGCTTATGGGTCCCAATTCCAAACCTCAAACCTTATTTTTTTTTTTTTGGGGGGGGGGGTGGTCATGGGGCTTGACCTCTGGGCCTGGGCGCTGTCCCTGTGCTCTTCAGCTCAAGGTGAGAGCTCTACCGCTTGAGCCACAGTGCCACTTCTGGTTTTCTAGTGGTTAACTGGAGATAAGAGTTTCATGGACTTTTCTGCCCAGGCTGGATTTGAACCATGATTCTCAGACCTCAGCCTCCTGAGTAGCTAGGATTACAGACGTGAGCCACCAGTGCCCGGCCCTCAAACTTTATTATAATCAAAATAGCTTAACACTGGCACAAAAGCAGCCTAAAAACCAATGAAATAGAATGGAAGGTCCAGAAACAAACCTGTATACTTATAGCCGTTTGTTGGAAAAGACAGCCTTTTCAACAAATGGTGCTGGGAAAACTGAACATCCTCATGCAGAAAACTAAAATAGATCCTTGCCTGTCACCTTGCACTAATGCCAAATCAAATGGATCAAAGACCTCAACACCAGACTTGAAATCTTGAACTACAGGAAGAAGAAACATTAGAACATATTGGCATAGGCAGGAACTTTGAGTAGAGTTCCAGGGGCTCAGCAAATTGGAGAACTTGGAATACATCAAACTAAATAAAAAGCTCCTACACAGCTAAGAACACAGTTATGAAACTAAAATGACAGACTACAGAATAGATCTTTACCAATTACACATTAGACAAGGGCCTAATATCCCAAATATACAAGGAGTTCAAGAAACTAAATCCGGCTGGGAATGTGGCTTTGTGGTAGAGTGCTTGTCTAACATGCATGAAGCCCTGGGCTTGATTCCCCAGTACAACATAATCAAAAAGCCAGAAGTGGTGCTATGGCTCAAGTGGCAGAGCGCTAGCCTTGAGCAAAAGAAGCCCAGGGACAATGCCCAGGCCCAGAGTTCAAGCCCCATGACCAACAACAACAAAAAAAAGCCAGAGGCCCTGATGAGTCCCACCTGTAATCCTAGCTACTCAGGAGGCTAAGATCAGAGGATCACAATTCAAAGCCAGCCTGCGAACCTGAGCAGGAAAGTTTGTAACACTTTTATCTCCAATTAACCACAAAAAGCCAGAAGTGGAGCTGTGGCTCAAGTGGAAGAAAGCTAGCCTTGAGCACAAAAGCCTAGAGACAGCATACAGGCCCTGAGTTCAAGCCCCGGGACCAGGAGAGGAAAAACAAAAACCCTAAACATAGAGCTACCCTATGGCCCAGCGATAACAAGCTTGGGCATCTCATCCAGAGCCTCACAAGCCAGGATAAAGACACTTGCATACCCATGTTCACTGCTGCACTAGCCACCACACCCAGTGGGTGAGCGGATCAAGAAAATGTGCTACACACGCAATGGAATTTCAGTCATCTATTAAAGTATGTCGTTTACAAGGAAGTGAATAGACCTATTAAAAAAAAACAAAACTAAAAAGCTGGGCGCCAGTGGCTCACGCCTAGCTATTCAGGAGGCTGAGATCTGAGGACTGCAGTTCAAAGCCAACCTTTCCTTTCTCACAAGAAAGTCCTGTGAGACTCATCTCCAATTAGCCATCAGAAAACCAGAAGTAGCGCTGTGGCTTCAAGTAGTAGAGCACTCACCTTGAGCTGAAGAGCTCAGGGCAGCACCCAGGCCCAGAGTTCAAAACCCACAACTGACCAAAAAACAAAACAGAACTAAGTGAAGTCAGGCCCAGAGAGACAAACAGCACATATTTATTTCCTTCCTTCCTTCCTTCCTTCCTTCCTTCCATTCTTTCTTTCTTTTTTTTGGGGGGGTCTGGTCGTGGGGCCTGAACTCTGGGCCTGGGCGCTGTCCCTCAGCTCTTCAGCTTAAGGCTAGCGCTCTACCACTTGAGCCACAGCGCCACTACCGGCTTTTTTCTTTTTTCTTATGTGGTGCTGAGGAATCGAACCCAGGGCCTTGAGCATGCAAGGCAAGCGCTCTACCACTGAGCCACCTTCCTAGCCCCTTTTCTTTCATTTTTTGGGTCCGGTCATGGGGCCTGAACTCTGGGCCTGGGAGCTGTCCCTCAGCTCTTCAGCTCAAGGCTAGCGCTCTACCACTCAGCCACCTTCCCAGCCAATAAATATAGCCGGGCGCCGGTGGCTCACGCCTGTAATCCTAGCTACTCAGGAGGCTGAGATCTGAGGATCGCGGTTCAAAGCCAACCTGGGCAGGAGAGACCGTGAGACTCCTATCTCCAATAAACCACTAGAAAACCGGAAGTGGCACTGTAGCTCAAGTGGTAGAGTGCTCGCCTTGAGCTGAAGAGCTGAGGGACAGCACCCAGGCCCAGAGTTCAAGCCCAACAACCACCAAAAAATAAATAATTTTTTTAAAAAGCAAATCATTTGCTAGACATCTATGGCTCATGCCTGTAATCCGAACTAATCAAGAGGCTGAGATCTGAGGATCACCATTCCAAGCCAGCCCAGGCAAGAAAATCTGTGAGACCCATCTCCACGTAACTACCAGAAAGCCAGAGGTAGCACTGTGGCTCAAAGTGGTAGAACACTAGCCTAGAGTGCAAAAGTTCAGGGACAGCATCCAGGCCTAGAGTTCAAGCCCTAAGGCTAACAACAACAACCAAACAACCAGGAGAAAGCTAGCATTCAAGTGGTAGAACATGCCATCTGACCACGAAAGCTGAGTGAGCACAAGGCCCTGAGTTCAAACCCCAGTACATTATAAAAGGAAAAAGAAGGGCTGGGAAGGTGGCTCAGTGGTAGAGCGATTGCCCTGCATGCCTGAGGCCCTGGGTTCGATTACTCAGCACCACATAAGAAAAAAGAAAAAAGCCGGAAGTGGCGCTGTGGCTCAAGTGGTAGAGTACTAGCCTTGAGCTGAAGAGCTGAGGGACAGCGCCCAGGCCCAGAGTTCAGGCCCCGTGACCGGACCCCCCCCCCCCAAAAAAAAAAAAGGAAAAAGAAGAAGTCTTGAGGATTTAAAGCAACAATCACACACACCTAAGAGTGGCAAAGTCCCAGCTGAGAAGCCCTGGGAGTCCCTGGAATGCAAGGCGAAAGCTAGGGCTGACAATGCTCAGCATTTCCTCCAAACAAAGGAAGTGTTGTCAACACTGGAGGAAGTGGCAGCTGCCCCGTCCATCAGGTGTGTGGATGAATGCAGCGGGCCCACGAGGAACCTGCTGAAGTGGCAACAGAGATGGCCACAAGAGCCCAGCCCACAGCAGTCCAGTCCCACCCTAGACGTCAGGCAGGACAGCAACGTAGAGTGCTGAGAGTGGCAACACAGGGAGTGAGGGTAAGTCTGGGGGCCTGAGGCCACCCAGGTGTGGCCCTAAGAGCTTTCTTGGAGGGAGTGGGTGGGGAGAAAGGGTGGGTGAGCGTAAGGAAAAGGAGGAAGACAACTCGGGCAGGCTCCTGCAAAGACAGGGGCAGGGGGGAGGGGAAAGAACGCAGGCAGAAAGGACAGCAGCCTCCGAATACAGAACACAATGGCTCCAGCAGTTTCCAGGTACTCTAGGTCACACTGGACCTAGGCCCTGCCCACAGGTCACCTCATGGAAGTGTCACAGCCCCCAAGGCCACAGCCAATCGGACAGTGGAGGAGGGAGAGGAGAGAAGGCAGGAGAGGAGGAGACAGGGGAGGAGCGCGGAGGAGGGAGGCCACCAAAACACAGCCACCAGCCACCGTTGGGAACTTCCTTAGCCAGGGCTGGCCCCGTGGCCCCAGTAAACAGGTTTCAAAACCATTAGTCAGCACTTTGTCCCGCAGTCCCGTCTGGGGCTCCTGGTCTGGAAGGCTCACAAGGGGGGGGGGGGCGGGGCGGGGGGGGGGGGGCGGTGTAGGCTAACTGGTCGGCCAGTTTGCTTGCTGGGGTGCAGGTCTGAGGTGGCCCCCTCTGGCCACAGGGCAGCAGGCGCAGCCCCAAATGCCAGCCAGAAGGAATCTCCCGCAACCCCTCCCCCTTCCAGCGTCTGACGCAGAAGAGACCGTCCAATGCCCAGCCACTGGAGCAATGTCAACAAACAAGCGGCCAGCCCAGACAGGTGGGCCTGCCTGGGCCAGTGGACTCAGTCAGGGCCACTAGGTCAGGCAAGAGGGAGGGGGTCGCCCTGGCCGGGTCACCGGGAACTCAGCACACCTACATGACCAGGCCGGCCGGCCAGAGGTCCGCCACTGCTGCTACAGCCCCCTCCCCGTCCAGGCAGCCGAAAGCACTGGGGGATCCCCGGCTCCCAGGGGAAGCAGTCAGACATGGACCAGAGATGGGATCCCAGAGCCCACTGGGCCTCAGGCTGGATGGGCAAGGGTGCCCGATCCTTCTGCCCACACCAGGTGCTGGCCTGGTGCCGGCCTGGAGCTGTCTCGGCCCCCAGGGGCTCCACACTGGGCAGCCGGGGGCCTGAAGGTGTGCACGGGTCAGCCCCCCCAGCCGGCCGCGGGCCGCCCTACCTGGAAGTCGTACAGGGCCACGATGTTTTCATGCTTTAATTCCTAGGACAGAGACCCGAGTTTCTGGTGAGCAAGGCCCGAGCCGGCCCGGCCTCTGCCCGCGGCCAGGCGCCGGCTCACCTTGAGGATTTTGATCTCCTTTCCCAGCAGGGTCTGCGACTTGGCCAGGTTCTTCTTGTTGATGCATTTGACCGCGACCTCCAGGTCGTGCTTCTGAAAGCCAAGCGCGACGCTCAGGCCGGGCCGGGCCGGCGGGGGTCGGGGGCCGCTGTCAGCGGGGCGCAGGGCTCTCGGGCGGGGCCCGGGCCGGGCCGAGCGGGGCGGGGCCGGGGCCGGGGTCTGGGACGCGGGGCCGGGGCCGGGGTCTGGGACGCGGGACGGGGCCGTGGCCGGGGTCTGGGACCCGGGACGGGGCCGGGGCCGGGGTCTGGGACGCGGGGCCGGGTCCAGGGTCAGGGACGCGGGGCCGGGGTCTGGGACGCGGGCCGGGGTCTGGGACGCGGGCCGGCGCCGGGGCCTCGGGCCCGCTGTCCCGTCCGGCCCCTCACCCACCTCGCGGTGGCGGCCCTTGAAGACCACGGCGAAGGCGCCGTGCCCGATCAGGTCCTTGCGGGAGAACTCGAACCGGCCCACGGTCTCGGTGCCGCCGCGGCCGGGCTCCATGGCGCGCGCGGGCCGGGGCGGCGGGCCGCGGGGCGGCGGGCCGGCGCGGGCGGGGCTCAGGCGGAGGCGCCGGCCGCGGGCCGGCCGGGCGCGCGGGGCCGGGGGCGCGGGGCCGGGCGCGGGCGCCTCGCCGGGGCCGCGCGCCCCATCGGGCGGGCCCGGGCCGGGTCCCAGCCCCGCGGGCCCGCGGGCCTCCGGGCGCGCTCCCTCGGCGTCCGGCGCGGCGCCCTCGCGACGCTGGCACTCGGAACCCACTCCGACGGCGACGGCGGCCGCCACCCGGCTCAGGCTCGGACCCGGCTCGGGCCCGACAGCGGCGTCGCGGATCCGGCCCGGCGGGGGAAACAAAAGAGCCGCGGCGGCCGGGCCTCCGAGCCTGAGGCACCCGCGCAGCCGCACTGCGAGGGGGCGGGGCCTGGCGGGGGCGGGGCGGGGAGGGGAGGGGCTTCCCGGGACCGGGACCTCGTGCATTGGCGGGGCTGGAGGAGGGTGTGGCTGGGGGCGGGAGGGAGACGGGCGCCCGCCCGTGGGGCGGGGCCTGAAGAGGCCGGAGCAGCCTCAGTGGAGGAGCCCCGGCGGGGGGCGGAGCCTGGCGGGCGGGGCCGGCTCGTGGGCCGCGGTGGGCCGCGTCCCGGTGCGGCCCCTGGGGTCGGCGGCTGTGCGGTCGCCCGTGGCTCTCCCCGATCCGCCCGGGCTGAGCCGGGCCACCGCCCCGGCCAGGGCGCTCTCCGGTGCTCCCTGGCCCGGCCGGCCGGCTGGGCATCGCATCTGGGCTTTATTTTGGGGTGTCCCCCAGCAGGTCCTCAGCAGTCACTGGGGGTGTGGCCCCGTCCCGCGTTCGGGTGGTGAGCTGGAGCTCAGGCCGGCCTCGAACTTGCGCCGCGCGGGCGGGTCGCGGGGCCGGCGCTGTGTGGCGGTGTGAGCTCAGGCCTTCGCGCTCTGCACTCGAGCCACGCCCGGCCCTGCGCGGGTGGTTGTCCTGGAGATCAGGGTCTGTCCTCGGACTCCGGCCTAGCTGGCCCAGAGCTGCAGCCTCGGCCTCCCAGTTGCCCGGATTACAGGCTGAGCCGCCGACACCCGGCAGAATGTTTTCCCTTCGGAGGGATGAATAATGGTCGTTTGTGTGGTGGAACAGGTCCCACCTCTGGCGGCAGAGCCTCGAGTGGCTTCCGCCCACATGATAAATGATTGTTGTGAATACAGGTGTGAGGAAAGCCTAGGTGCTGCGTCTGTTTCCAGTTCTGCAGAGCAGGAGTACAGGGTCAGAGGATTCTATTCAGCTTGAGGCTTGAACCCAGGACTTCACACACCTGGGAACTACTCTACCCCCCCTCTGCGTCCTTCTAAACAGGAGCAGGGGTGTGAAGTGATAACTCTGCCTCTGATTTGCATTTCTCCAAGGGTCTGGAGCATCTTCTCACGTGCCATCGGCACATTGTGCTCAGGGAAGCACCAATTCAAATGCTTCCTAATGTGGGGGGCACTAGGGTGGATCTACAGCCACACCCCCAGCTTTCCTGCGAGTCAGGCAGTGGATAATCTTGTAGGAAGTTTGCAACCTCCGTCCTAGACTATTGGGGAATCCATCCTTGGAAGGCAGCTTAGGACAGCTGCTGTTTGCTCGCAGATTGGGGGTCATTTTGCCTCCCCCTCCACTCAACCCTGGGGGACTGGGACACGCCAGGGCCAGACCCCTCCCCATTGGGGCACTGTGAGGGTGCAGGTCAGCCAAGGGTCAACACGCCAGGGCGGTGGGATCTCCGCTGGCACCAGTGGCTGGGTTGTGGACCAGCAGCCCTGGCCAGGCCCCTGGGAGAATGTGGGGAACGCACTCCTCACCGCCCAAGCCCATCCCAGAGAATTCCAGCAGAGCCCTGCCCAGGGAAGGCAGGGGTCATCAAGACACAGTTCCCCCATTCTCTGTTACCCAGAGAACATGGCCTCTTGAGTCGGAGGCTGAGAGGAGGGGAACCGCCCCCCCCCAAGTTGGAGGGGGGATGGACTGAGGGCTGGGTGGTACCAGCCCCCCCAAGTTGGAGGGGGGAAGGGCTGGGGGTGCCAGCCCCCCAAGTTGGATGGGGGACCCACTGAGGGCTGGGGGGGGTGCCAGCCTCACTCCAGGACTCTGGGCCGACCTGCTGTTCACACCCAATTTTCCTAACAGTCCCAATCTAGACTCACCCTCAGTGCCCCTGCATTGTGCAGCACCCCCCCGCCCCACAGTGACTGTACTTGGTGACATTCTAGAAGAAACGCCCCCCCCCCTTTTTTTTGGAAGTCCTGCCAGAAATTAAATGAGTAAGGTTGGTTGGAATTGGGTTTGACCTTGAGCACCTAAAAAATAAAAATAAATTTAAAAAGAAGTTTTAAGTTGTGCCATAATATGAATACAAGAAGCCAGACACAATGCCAGGCATGGTGGCTCACACTTTTAAGCCTAGCTACTCGGGACATGGAGATCTGGGGATTGTGTTCAAAGCCAGCCTGTTAACCACTAAAAGCCAAATGTGGAGCTGTGGCTCCAGTAGTAGAACCAAAAAAAAATCCTCAGGATCAGTGCTTAGGCCCTGAGTTCAAGCTTTAGTACACACACACACACACACACACACACACACACACACACACACACACACACACACACACACACACACACACAGTAGAACCAAAAAAAAATCCTCAGGATCAGTGCTTAGGCCCTGAGTTCAAGCTTTAGTACACACACACACACACACACACACACCACACACAGAGGCAATACAGACTCTCAAAGCTGGTTAGAGAGATTGAGAGCCAGGCCTGGAGTAGAGCTCAGCTCTGGCCCCACACCACCCCCTCCCAAAGGCAGAGAAGTTATTCTCATTGATATGCAATGCCCCTGGCAGGCTAGGTGCTGGCCTGGAAAGTGGTTCTGGGAAACCAGGGGTGGAGAAAGAGCTGTGCTCATTCCAGGCTGAGGCTGTTACCTGAGTGACCTCACCACCCCTGTAGGTGGGCTAGCCCAGGATCGCCCCCAAGTGATTCCCAGGGGAACCTCGGCTCCGTTTTAGTCTCCCCTGCAGGCTGAATGGTAGCCCCATGCTTTGGTGCTGTCAACTGCCAAGAAGACCAGCAGAAAAGATTGCAATAGATGCTTAAGCTACTCCTTCTCCCCCACCCCCCCTTGTCAGTCTTGAGGCTTGAACTCAGGGCCTGGGCCCTGTCCCTGAGCTCTTTTGCCCGAGACTATCGCACTACCACTTTGAGCCAAAGCCACTTCTTTCTTTCTAGCAGTTAATTGAAGATAAGAATCTCAGACTTTCCTTGCCTGGGTAGGCTTTGAACCAAGATCCTCAGATCTCAGCCTCTCAAGTAGCTAGGATTTCAGGCCGGAGCCACCAGCTCTGGGCCTCAAGCTACTTTTTGCTTAGAATCCCTGACTATTCATTCAGGTGGGTGTTTAAGATAATTCAAAGCCAAGTAAAACTCCAGGGCCCCAGGCTCTAGTCAGTGACAGTTCCCTTCCCTTAGGCAGCCCCTTTACTGTCACCTTTGATTCCAGTAAGCACAGATAAACATCTCCAAACAAAAGGCAAATTGCCCCTCAAACAATACCTTCTTAATCTCCTTTCTCTAAGCCTCCTTTCTCTGCCTCCTTTCCCCCAGTCTGGAGTGTGGGCCTAGAGGCAGAATCTGAAATGTAAAATTCCTAGAGTGAAGTCTTGGCATCCAAAATTCCAGCTTCAACTTCACAAAAGGAAAAACAAAAACAGAAAAGAAGCCCAGCCAACTGCTGGGGAAAATCTCTGTGCAATCCCAGAGCAGGGGTGCAGGCCTGGCCACACCCTTCTCTACCCCCATATCCAGACCCCCCCTACTCCTAGAAGGTAAGAATGATTTGAGAACTTTCCACCCAGCTCTTTCATTGTTGGCCAGTAAAAGTCCTCTTCACTGCCCAGTTAGTGTGGGGTCTCATTACTGGCTTTACAATTCCAGGAGGGAAAAGACAGTTTTGGGTAAAACCAGGCCACAGCCTTTGTCTTCTTGGGGTGAGGAGCTAGCTGTTTAGGACTGGAGAGGTGGTGGCTACAAGACATTGCGCAATGCCACAGAATCATTCATTCTGCAGTGGTCCTGTGAATCTCCTCTCAATAAAGAAGGAGGAAAAGTAAGGTTCGGATAGCTCACACCTGTCACCCTAGCTACTTAGGAGGCTGAAAACTGAATATTGCAGTTTGAAGCCAGCCCAAAAAGAAAAGTCTGAGAAACTCTTATCTCCAATTAGCTTCTCTGGGAGGAAAAAAGGAAGTGAAACTGTAGCTTGAGTGGCTTCTCAGTCTCCTTGAGCAGAAACACACAGGGACAACGCCCAGGCCCTGAGTTCAAGCCTCAGGACCCAGAGAAAAAAAAGGAGAGGAGAGTTAGGCCATGGTGGCTCTCACCTGTAAGTCTAGTCTTCGTGGCTATTCTGGAGGCTGAGATCTGAAGATTGTGGTTCACAGCCAGCCTGGCAGAGAAGTGCCCTGAGACTCTCATCTCCCATTAACCTCTCAAAAACGGGAAGTGGTGCTGTGTCTTAACATGGTAGAACTCTAGCCTTGAGCAAAAGAGCTCAGGGACAGTGCCCGGGCCCCCAGTTCAAGCCCCATAACTGACCCTCAAAAAAAAAAGTCTCACAGACTCCTGCCCAGGCTGACTTTGAATTACAATCCTCAGATCGCACCTCCCACTTAGCTAGGATCACAGGCATTACAGGCATGAGCCACCAGCGCCGCTTTGATCTGTAGCCCGGTTCACAGGGGTCTGGTATGAGTCACCTTGATGTCACTGCTTCACTTGGGAAGGTGACAGAGTAGATGGTGGTGGCAGCAGCACCCCTTCAGGCCACAGCAATGTGGCCCCAAAATGGTTGATTTTCTGTTTTCTTCATTGTAACATTTAAGAAGCAGAAATCCAGAGGCTCAGTCCCAGAAAACCCGCTGAGATTCTATCAGGGGCCGAGGCGTGACGTAAGTTCAGAGCGTATGATCCTGAAGAAATACGCATAGACACCCTGGAGCCCT